GTCTATGCCTTTGCAACACCCTACTTCCTCGCCCCTTATAGGTGGTGTTAACACCATATCGCAGATTTATGGCAATATTCAGGAATGTGGAGGTCATTAGACCCATTGACACAGACTATATTTGCTTTACCTTAATTTCACACACCAACTATTTTATTATAGGGGCTGCACAAAGCAAGGATGAAACAGGTCAGTTTAATCTTTGTTAGTTTCAGTAAGAATCAAAAGCATAGTAATTCCGGGCAGCAAATATACAAGTATGAAAAATGACTTTCGTTAGGGTCAACTAATATTAACGGGAGTTCCCCATGAAAACCAGCTCCACAATCCTAGCAAATTTGGATGAGACTCGGCCCGATACGATTACTCCTTAAGTTTGGTCCAGAATAGTAGGACGTTAAACCCTATATTTGTCCCTTCCGTGGGACTAACCGAGCAATCCCCGCTATATTGAAACCCCAGAAACTATGGTGTGTAGAGAGTTTTCAAAGTTTCGCGTCATGGGCGTTAAATGTTTGGGCGTCTCTGAATTTCTTAGAAAAAAACGAACAAGAATTGTGAACGGACAGACATATTGGTATATCGACGGTCAGGGGTGATGAAAGTATATTTACAAATGTGAGCGATTAACAAAAGTAGTCCTTTATAAAGACAATTAATTAAAGTTATTCTTCAATTCGGTATCTGGAAAATGTCGGGTAAGATACGGTTCATGTTCATGGATTGTGGTAATTCTTTATTTCAAAAAGAAACAATTGATATATATACTATTCAAAAAAAGTAGGGGATATTTGATTTTGGGGGCATAATACTAAAATATGCAAATGACTACGAAAAAAGTCACTATAGAACCTAACAGAAGAAACATTTCCAGTTACATGTGACGCCCAAACGCACCAATAGCTACCGCATGGAATGCAGGTGATGCTTGGGATCATCATGGGGGTCCAACCCAAGATTTGCACGACTCTGACTTTGAATGTTACAGTCATTGTGGCATAGAATTCCAGGGTGGAAACATCAGTTTAATTGTTTTAGTGACCAGAAAACAAATTTTGATATGCGTCGGCTTACCCAAAATGAAAGGTTACGTGCCCTTGGCATGCTACAGATCGGCACAACACAGGCGGTTGTGGCGCGGACGATGAATGTTTCTCAGTCTGTCATAAGCAGGCTATGGTCCAGATACCGTGATACACAATCTGTACAGGACAGACCACGCTCAGGTCGACCAAGGGCGACAACTCAAGCCTAGGATCGATTTATCCGTACCTTGGCCTTGAGAAATCGTGTCATCACAGCAAATCAGATCAGCGCTCGTCTTCAAACAGACACTGGTGTGAGAGTGAGTGGCCAGACGATTCGGAATCGACTGCATAGGGATCACCTTCGCGCCCGACGTCCTCGCGTGATCCCTTGTTTGAGAGATCATCACATTCAGGCAAGACGTCGTTGGTGTAGGGATCGTCAACACTGGGATAATCGACGCTGGAGCAATGTGATGTTTTCAGATGAGTCAAGGTTCACTGTTGATTTTTTGGACAGACGTAGGAGGGTGTGGCGTCGTCGAAACGAGCGCTTCCAAGACGTTAACGTCATCAGACATGATCGATTTGGGGGTGGTTCTGTTATGGTGTGGGGAGGCATCACTGTTGCTGGAAGAACGGCTTTACATGTTGTTGCAGGGCGTGTTACAGGCCAGTACTACCGGGACAACATCTTGGCAGTCCATGTTGTGCCGTTCGCACGACGTCATGGCCGCCGTTTCATCTTCCAGGATGACAACGCAAGATGTCACAGGGCCAGGATCGTTACAGGTTACCTCCAACAACAGAACATCACCACATTACCTTGGCCAGCACTGAGTCCCGACCTCTCCCCCATCGAGCATGTCTGGGACATGCTTGGACAGAGGTTACGTCAACGTCAACAACGTCCTGCCAATGTCCAAGAACTTGCTGCTGCGTTGCAACAGGAATGGGACAATCTGGACCAAAATGACCTTAGACGTCTCATTAGGAGTATGCCACGTCGGATCAATGCTTGTTTGGCAAACAGAGGAGGATTTACCCGTTACTGACTTGGTTGTGATGCTGTGGTAACTTTGCTGTTTGACCCCGGGTATCATTTTACCCTTATAATGGTCAGTCTGTGCCTTACTTAGTCTAACGATCATTTGGAATAAATCGTTGAATGTGAACTTCATTTCATTTTGTCATTTGTTTCTTCGTCAGTTTCATTAGGTGACTTTAATAACACTTAAAAATCAAATATCCCCTACTTTTTTTGAATAGTATATGTATATGTATGTATTTGTTTAACACAGATTGTTGGTGGAATTGTCGGTGTTATATTAGTTGGTGTTATAGTTGGTGTTGTCATAGCCTTTATTAAAAGGTAAGTACACCAGTAAATCTTTATTAAAACTTTATTGTTGTGAATTTTTATTAATAGGATGTTGCTCACATAAGTACATCCGAAGTTTTTTTTAATAATCCATCGGAAGTGAATGTAGAATTAAATAAAAATATATATTGAATCAAATTAAATTAGAAATAATCCTATAAAAATTAGTGTTGCCATAAATTAACTGAATATTGTTGTTTTAAAATTTATTGCTTCACGGTTATAAACTTACATATCAAGTTTCATCAAAATAGGATTAAAATTGTGACCTCCACAACCTTGATATACTATATATTTTTACGCTAGTTGAGAACGAAGTGCGGTCATTTTGTCTGTCAGTTTTGGGCCGATTTTCACGAAATTCGAACTCAGCCTTCCTTAGGGTTTAACGGTGATATAATATACTATTCAAAATGTGAACTTCATTTCATTTTGTCATTTGTTTCTTCGTCAGTTTCATTAGGTGACTTTAATAACACTTAAAAATCAAATATCCCCTACTTTTTTTGAATAGTATATGTATATGTATGGATTTGTTTAACACAGATATAGGGGCTATTGTTGGTGGAATTGTCGGTGTTATATTAGTTGGTGTTATAGTTGGTGTTGTCATAGCCTTTATTAAAAGGTAAGTACACCAGTAAATCTTTATTAAAACTTTATTGTTGTGAATTTTTATTAATAGGATGTTGCTTACATAAGTACATCCGAAGTTTTTTTTAATAATCCATCGGAACTGAATGCAGAATTAAATAAAAATATATATTGAATCAAATTAAATTAGAAATAATCCTATAAAAATTAGTGTTGCCATAAATTAACTGAATATTGTTGTTTTAAAATTTATTGCTTCACGGAGACAACGAGCAGATCCCGTACAACCCAACAATGCCCATGTAGAGTCGGCATATAACACTGACGTAACTTTACCTGCAACCACCACTCCTGTATATTTTGAACTGGAGTCGAACAACAACACGAGCTCAGCTAATGCCCAACTGACCTCTAGTGATAACTATGAGGTTATACGGGCAGATGACCATACAAAACCATCTAAAAGGAATGACAATTATGATCATATTGGAGTGGACGTCGTGGCGTCAGATGGAGATTACCACTTTTTAAAGGGAACTAACTCCAGCAAGACAACCACTGACCCAGATTGTAATTATAACCATGTTGGTTTGTTTACCACTGAGGAAGATAACTACCACCATATAGGAGGGAGCCAATCTCAAATTATTACTGATGATACATACAACCATATTGCTGGGGACAATAACGCTGGTCTGGAAAGGGATGACTACCGCCATATCGGAGATAGTCATCGACATCAAGTTGTGACGGATGATACATATAATTACATTGGAGAAGCGCATGACGAAGTACCGGACGGAAATGGACATGAGCTGCCGAGTGATGGCGATGTCGATTATTCTGTTGAAGATAGTGGAGATTATTCCGCTATTCGTGGTGCTGATGGTAATGGTGATCATAGCGCTGATACAGCAGAAGGAATTTATTCATTGGCTAAAAGAATTTAATATTCCAGAAATTAACTACAAACTATATTAAAATAAGGGCCGGATGGGTGTTTTCTATTATTAATAGTATTAGATTATAATTAGACCATATGATTCTTTTTTGGAAAAAATAAAGTCGCCAAGAGTAGTGTTCATGCGTTACCTCCCTGGATCTGGCTATTCCCTAACGTAATAAACTCGTTATTACCGCACGCACTAAATTCGTTATTAACTCACTCTATAAGCTCATCATTAACTACTGTAATACGCTCGTTATTAACTAAAGCAATAAGCTCGTTGTTAACTAAGCAATAAGCTCGTTATATACTCACGCAATACACTTATGAGTAACATGTGATATCTACTGATATTTTACCGTTGTAATTATTATACACCATATGTAAACACAAGCAGATCATCAGTATACAAAACACAGTGAAATTTACTGGGTATCGATTTGTATAGTTAAAGGCCTCCTCGGTACCCCGAGTGGCATCGTTCCGCTCTACGCCACTACTAGGGATACCGATGATGAATTAAAGGCTGTCCGGCCAAAATGCCGCATAGCATGACCCGTCTTTATTAACCAAGTTGGAGCAGAGTAGTAGGGCGTTAAACCCCATTTCATTTCATATTTTTAATAGTTAAAGAACGTTTTTTTCCTGTTTTTTGGGACAATACAATAGACGAGAGAGAGGGAGAGGGTTTAACGTCCACTAGACACAGACTAGGTCATTTCAGGACTAACATATGGAAACCGGAGGACCTGGAGAAAACCCACGAGGTTGATTTGGCAACCCTACTCCTTATCACGTACAGCCGGGGATTCGAAACCACGTCAGTTGACTCAATGACAGGCCTTATGATACAGCGCGCACGAATGGATTAAGCGCTATATCCTATCTATAAATCCACATCATTTACCACCAGCATCATCGTCATCGTCATCATCATCATCATACCACCATCATTCATCAATATTGGAATGCGTGTGATTGTTGAAAAATCAAAATAATTTAAAACTACATAATTGTATTTTATTATTATGAATTAACAAACATAATACGTAGTCGAACAAATCAGTTCTCGGTATCTTCAAACTATGTCGGCATTATAACCCCGATTACTAAATACAGTTTTACCACATACACCCATGACCGACATCAGTTGAACGACCTCTGCAAAAGAAATAAAATGAAATGAAATTGGGTTTAACGTCCTACTGTTTTGCTCCGAACTGGGCTAATGAAGACGAGCATACACCATACAGTGTGCTATGAGGGAAATTTTGTCCGGACAGCGGCACTACGGCCTACTCTTATATCGAATTCCAACTGTCAAGGGATCTTTTACGTGTACGCCAATGTGTACACGGGACCTTGGTTTTTCGTCTCACCCGAATGACTAGACAGCTGTCCTTGTCAGGCCCTCCGCCCTGTATCAGTGACAAGGAGGAACCACGTCGGAAAATCTGGGTGAACTTTCTCGGCCAATGCAGGGATCGAACACCAGAACTCCAGGCTAACGAGCCAGCGTGTTACCCACTTAGCCACCGTGACAACCCCTCTTCAAAAGAAAGATGGTACAAATCAGCAGATGCATACATAATTATAGTATACTAGAAGAATGCCCGGCTTCGCTCGGGGGTCATAACCCCGAAGCCGGAAGTGGTAGACTAACGCCACACAAAAGAAAACCGATAAGACAAACCCGCGGACAGGACAAGTTACACAGTCAATGTAAGTAATAAACAACAAAATATGAGATCAAATGAATGGATCGGAGTGTATGTGTTTGGGTTAGGAGTGAGGAGGGGGTGGGGTGAGGAGATGGGGGGGGGGGGGGCTGCCGTAAGCGTCTATAGGCTTCACTCAAAATGGCAGTGGTTTGTATATAGAAACAGGGGAACAGCAGTAAACATTTTGTAACGAATGTTAGCTAGGTTAGGTATTCAGGTCTTTTCATCCCCAGTATGACCTGAGTTGCTATGGTAACTTGTAATGTCACTTCTTACATTAATAACTTCCACATCTACAGATTTAGTTTTAACTTGATTTCGTATTACAGGGTTGATAGCTGAACAGTAATAAAAACCACTCTGATTTCGGTTGGCTTTAGTAAGACTCAACTGCCCTTTAAGAGTTGGTAGAGGATCTCGAACCGTGGTACTCTTATACCAATTAATGAGGCATGTGGGATAACAATCAGTATAACATGTTACAGATATGTTCTGGCCTGCCACTATATTCAACCGCTTTATCTCCCCTTCCATGGCTAAAATATCACTCAATAAAGTTAACTGGATGTCGTTCGGTCCATCTAATAAAAATATAAAATGGTAGAAAATAACGTAAAAAATTAAATTGGTTGAATGGAAACTGGCAGGGTATTTCTTAACTACAGCTTATTTATCAGATTGAATGCCTAAAAATAAATCAAAGAGTTGAAGGATTTCGCTAAGTTGTTACTCGGTATGCGTTAAGGCAAAATTGAGGTGTCCTCTTTTAAAATCAGAGTTAGCTCCCTTGTTTTGTCAATACACGCAAGTCTCATACTTTGATTTATATTATACTTTTCTCATTGACTATTAAAACAATCTGGGCGTAAATGAGGCTGTAGTAACATTCGTTCATACTAATGTATGCTAACAACTATTTATTTTGAATATGGCGTCCTTTAAACACACAGAAGATAGCAATGATGATTACCTTGGTTTAACAATCATATAAAAATAGGATATCATGCCACCATTATACCGCGTTGGGTTTCGCAATGGGAGCTAATCACAGCCATAGAAACGTGGAGGATATCATTCAACCATTATATCCCGTTAGGCTCCCCAATGGGAGCTAACTATGGCCATAGAAATGTGGAGAATATCATAACGCCATTATATCGCGTTAGGCTTCGCAATGGGGGCTAGGGTCACGACCATAGAAAGTGGAGGATATCATACCGCCATTATATCGCGTTGGACTTCGGGATGCGAGCTAACTACAGTCATAGAAACGTGGCGGATATCATACCGCCATTATATCGCGTTAGACATCGCAAAGGGAGCTAACTACGGCCATATACTTACAGATAACATTTATGATGATTGCCTTGGTTTGAGTTATCCCAAGTACATCCGGGTTAACAGCGACGCAATAATAGCTTCCACTCTGGTTTTTATTGATATCAGTTAGAGTTAGTTTACCATTGATAGACGGTAATGGGTCGCTGTAAATATTATCAACAGTGGTCTTATACCAGTCTATTAGACATTCCGGAACACATTCAGTTGCACATGTTAATGATATATTATCGTCTTCCTTCATATTAATCAGTAGTTGACCTTCCACTTGCATTATTTCTGTTTCTGAACTAATAAGGAGTTCACCAGGACCATCTATAATAGATAAATACATAAACAATTTCATTCCATTCCAGTCAATCCTTTGATTTAATTAAATCCTTGACTTGATTTGATTGAATCCAAGATTGGATTGAATCCAAGATTGGATTGAATCCAAGATTGGATCGAATCCAAGATTGGATCGAATCCATGATTTGATCGAATCCATGATTTGATCGAATCCATGATTTGATCGAATCCATGATTTGATTGAATGTGACAAGGAGCAAGTTCGCCTGTCCAACCTCGTGGGTTGTTCTCCGGATCCTCCGGTTTCCTCCAACTGCTACAAACCCCTACGCGCAAGCGAATTACTGAAATAAAATAGAACTGTATGTTAGACCCGAAATAACCTAGTTTGTGTCGAGTGGATGTTAAACCCCATTTCGCTCTCTATCTTCTCTCACTCGGTTACTGTATTTATTAAAATTTAAGTAATTCTTACATTTACAGATAACTGAAGCATCATTATCATGCGTACAGTTGTGAACAGCCCAGTCAGGGTGACTACATTCTCCAACAGTTGGTTCTATACCAGCACAAGCTACTTCTGTTAACCAGATAGATCCAACGCCTTCTCCAAAATACGCCCCAGTTCTAGCTTCAGCTCCAGCTCTATAAAATATTGTAATATTACGTAGATGATTGCACTTACAATATAATACAGATGTGCTTCTCGGTGTCAATATAAACGAAAGCAATATACATACTATTTACTGACAGAACAATCTCTGGGCGTTCTCTCCCTCCGGGTGCGAGAAAATATTTGAAAAACTGACTGCAAATGGTGCTTTATAATGTACATCATTCGTACACAACCTCAAGGACCTGCTTATCAATTAGACAAAAACGATGTAAATTCAAGACTGAAAATGGTCGCCAATGTACGTGAGTACATGAACTTCATCAGCAGCTCGAGTCTACCATACTCACGGAATCATTCCCAGTCCACCCGAGAACAATAACACAAGTATCTTTAGAGTATTCTGTGGGTTGGCAAGCGTCTGATATGTGACGAGCAAACGAGGTCCACCCGTCCCAAGTTTACGTGAGGATATTAACTTCTTTAGGGATTCGAGTCTACCATACTGAAAGGATACTTCTCAGTCTACCCGTGAACAATAACTTAAGCATAGAACTTTAGAGTATTCTTTGGATTGGCAAGCGTCTGATGTGGGACTAACAAACGAGGTCCACCCGTATGGCGATGAAAACGCCGCAGTCCAGGCGCAATTGGTGTCACAGGACACTACACAGCATCTGTACAGAGAAACGTAAGCCGTTAAACCCTATTTTATTCTATTTCCTGTCATTTCATGTACGTAATTGTATATTTACGAGCTGAATCCACGTTCTTTACAAACTACTGCTGCATCTTCATCTCCCCAACCATAACCACAAATTGTTCCCCAAGCATTGTTAAAAAACACTTCAACTCGTCCTTCGTGTCTTCCTGTACCGTTGACCAGACGGTAGGTGACAGCTGAAGAAAATAATCAGGTTATAAACGATAAACATATTGTAAATGGCAGATAATTGCTGAAATTAAGAGACTGCTGTGAAAAAAAAAAATTAAAATGAGGCCGAAAATCCTAATGTTCTGCTCTGACTGGACTAATGAAGATAGACATACGCTATACATAGTGCTATCAGGGAAATTGTGCCCGGACAACGGCAGTACAATCTACTCTTATATCGAATTCCAACTCGTCAATGTACACACGGGACCTCGGTTTGGTGTCCAACCCAAACGACCATACCCTGTGCTTTGCCATGCACCCTGTCTTGCACCACTGACAAGGGGGAGCCACGCCGGAAAATATCCCATGAACTTTCTCTGTCGCTTGGTTTAGTGGTTTAACGCTTGCGTATTAGCTCACGAGGTCTATCATTGAGTCACATGGCGTGGTTTCGATTCCCCGTTTGTGCTTGACAAAGAGTAGGGTCGCCTGTCCACTCTCGTGAAGCTTCTCCGAGCACTCTGGTTTCCCCAGTACTGCTAAAAATCCCTAAACGCAAGCGAAGTATTGGAATAAAACTGAACCATATTTTTGTTCCGAAATGACCTAGTTTATGTCGAGTGAACATTAAATCTATGGTCTGTCTCTCTGTAGATATAAATGACTATATTTCTATATGCCAACACAAACTTGATATAATGGACTGCAATTGTGTATTTCAGAATTGTATGTCGACACTTACGTTTACATGCAACTGAAACGTCTTCTCTGTGATCGCAGTTATGAACACTCCAATCAGTGTGTTTACAATCGGTTATCGATGTTTCGGTTCCAGAACAAGCTACATCATCTAACCAGATGGGTCCACTGCCCGGCCCAAAATACGCCTTACTTACACCACTGGAATATAAACACAAATTTGATAGCGGGTCTATATGTAAAGTAATGTTGAATTAATAGAGTTTCTGAACAAGATCTCCCAAGTATGGAAGACCAAACAGCTCTTTATTGTCGTATTTCGACATTTGCACACTAAAATTAATATTTGTATATTAAAATCAATATTTGTTTCACAAAGCAGACATTTGTCATATCAGATTTGGTGTGTGTGTGGGTGTGTGTTTGTGTGTGGGGGTGGGGGTCATTGTGGCTAAGTGGGTAATACGCTGGCTCGCTAGCCTGGAGGTCGGGTGTTCGATCTCTGCATTGGCCGAGAAAGTTCATCCAGATTTTCCTGCGTGCCCCCCCCCCCCCTTGTCAGTAATGCAGGACTAATCGTTCGGATGGGACGAAAAACCAGGGTCCCGTGTATACATTGGCGTGCACGTAAAAGATCCCTTGACAGTTGGAATGCGATATAATAGTAGGACATAGTGCCGCTGCTGGGTCAAAATTTCCCTCATAGCACACTGTATGGCGTATGCCAATCTTATTAGCTCAGTCGGACGTTAAACCCCATTTTATTTCATTGTGTATAGCAATAACACATTACTTACATAGTGAATAATGCAAACATTCCATATCCTACGGACATAATTACATGAAATGAAATGCAGTTGGAGCTTTTACTTTTCTGGTCCAACTGGGCCAGTGTAGTGTGTTATGAGGGGTGGTTTGCCAGGACGAAAGCGCTACGAACTACTTTTATTTCGAATCCCAACCGTCAAGGGTTATTTTACGTACACGTCAACTGGTACACTGGACGTTAGATCCGAACGACTAGATGTTCCTTGCAAGACCTCCACCCGTACATAAATATATTATGTCTCAGCTATTTGACTTCAAGGTCATACAATCAAAGAATAATATACCATGACTAGTTCCGGGCTAATATACACACACTCATGACTCACATACCATGACCCATTTTGAGGTAATACACACACACATATGCCTCATTTGCCATGACTTATTTTTGGGGTAATATATATATATATACACACACACAGACACATGGCTCATATACCATGACTCATTCTGGGGTAATATACACACACTCATGACTCACATACCATGACCCATGGTTCATATGCTATGCCTCATTCTGGGGTAATATTAGCACACCCATGACTCATATACAAATGAAAATAATGTAATCAATCTTAACTTACGGATTAAATCCAAGTTGGCTACAGACGACCGCAGATTCTTCTTCTCCCCAGCCATCATCGCAAATCGTGCCCCACTGATTATTATGGAAGACTTCAACTCGACCAGCATATGGTACACCACCAGCCACCAACCTGTAGCTAACACCTGTCATAATATACAAAACAACATAGTTATCTACGATTTAATAATACGTCGTATGTGTGTCGGGTACCCACCAATCAGATCACTGGCTTATAATATAAAACAACTGGGTCTCTACACTCTAGTTCCGCAGCGTATACATTGTTTAGTAAAATGAAATGAAATGGAGTTTAACATCCCACTGTTCTACTTCGACTGGGCTAATGAAGTCGGTATTTTTTTTATAAGCGGCTGTCGCTATCTAAGTTTATAAAACTCGACTCTCGGCTCACCTGGTTGTACCGACAACTTCCGGTATTCACGATAGTTGCTTTTACTACTCACTGTATCCTTTTATATTCGATATTCGTGTTGCCTTGTTGTTCGAGTGATTACTAAAATCAACAAGTGGTAATTTGAACTTTTGTTTCTGTAGTTATTCGTTCAGTGCGAGGTTGGATACTTTTATCCAAACAGTGGCACTTCCGCCTACTCTTTCCATGTTTCTCACTACCAGGAGTTCTTTCGTGCCAGACGATGTGTAAATCTCGATTTTACGTTCCTGTCGAACGACCAGGCACCGCCCTCCCCGAAAGGATTCTAGGACTTCATAGAAGCTGTTAATTTTCATATTAATGTAATCTTTCATACGTTTTTGTCCAATTCCTACCCCTGAGCGCCTCACTTGATATATATATAGTCATACACCCATGACAAAAACAGTTCACTGCGAGTGTCACCACTGATAACTATAACTATCGTCACCACGAACGATCTTGTGAAGAAAAGAAATGAAATAAGGTTTCACGTTTTGTGTCATATTCTTGTCGCCAATGGTATACAAGGTTTCTCGCTCCATTTCAACGATTAGAGACTCTTCTTACCAGACTTGTCGTCCAGCAAGGAATCCGGGATTCACCCAGCCCACTAAATCAGGTCGGATACTTGCGATTACCAGCAGTACGGCATGCAGAACGAACAGAAGTTCTGTGTAATATCATAATCACAATGCGGACATGAACAACTGCGTAGCCAATGCGTAAATATATATAATGCAAATGTTTTTTTAGGCCTGAAATGTTATCTAAATTATTAATTAGACAATTATTAACATGAAAAGACCATAATCAACTCTCGATGCCATCTTATGTCCGATTTTCATTGGATTTGAATCCGATCTGCTGTTCAACTTCCGTTGATGATTAAACCTAAAACTTGATAATCGAGACTTTGTTAATTATTGTGACAACGGTAACAATGACAATCGAGGCTACATAGATTTTAATATAGGGTTTTCTCGTCTTAGGGTGAAGCAGTTTGACTAGTTAGAACTTGATATAATCTTCTATAAAGTGTCTTTAAGTATTTATTATATTGTTTTGGTGTTTATTCACCTGTTTCTTTTATATATCCATATTTATTCCCGTATTTAGGCTATGTCTGTTCCCTTACAATTTCTAGATAAAATATTGTTTAAAAAATAACCACTAAGCCATATAAATACAAAAAAGTGTTTTTCAACTGTAGTACTTACGTTTACATACAACTGATGCATCCTCGCTGTGGCTGCAGTTATTAACTCCCCATCCACGGTGTCTACATGTCGCCAGGGACGACTCGCTACCAGTACACATCACTTCATCCAACCATATCGGTCCAAATCCTTCGCCGAAATGGGCTAGCGGAAAGGCTTTAGCCTGGGTACTGAAATTTTACAGTCAATCCCAACACATTAGAAGATGAATCGACAATAGGTTTAGCTGATTGAAAAGTACTGAATAAGCGTAATTTGCACTGGCGTCGTATGTGAAAAAGGATATTCTTAAGCGTTCTAGGCAGCTTATATAACAGCCTTAACGAAAAAGCAAAATAGATAGAGAGGAGGAGGAGAGGAGTGTTACATCTTTTTTTCAACGGGTGGGGGCTGCTGGACCCGGAGAGAGAGAGAGAGAGAGAGAGAGAGAGAGAGTGTGTGTATTGCTAATCTTAATCAGTGTGTATCCATATACTAATGTAGCATTCTCAGCCTGCTTACCAAGTCCACCAAACTAATTCGAGCAAACTAATCTGATAGCAAAATGTATGTAAGGCCTCACTTACGTTTCAAAACCTAGTTGTTTACAGACCACCCTGGCTTGGGATTCTCCCCAACCGTGATCACAAACTGTCCCCCACTGGTTGTTGAAAAACACCTCAACCCTCCCTTCATGTGACCCAGAACCTTCTACAAGACGATACTCCACGTCTATAATAATAATAATAATAATAATAATAAATTGATAATAATAATAAATTGATAATAATAAATCATAATGATAATAATAAATTAATAGTAATAATAATAATTACTATATTGCACACAGTCTCTTTGGAACAGTTAGAAACGACGGAATAGTGAAGATCATGTGTAACAAAGCAAGATATTTATATTGAATGATAAACTCTATTTGCAAATATAAATATCACATAATAGAGATATACTGTTTAATCCCAGTGCAGAAACCGTTTGTGATATACCATACCTAAATTATTTGGACTAAAAAGGGCATACAGATTCGTTAATACGACATGCCACCTGAAGAACCAAATATAGGAAAGCTGAGATTATGAGAGTTCAGTTATCGGAATTGAGTAGTAGCAGACGGCTGTTTAAGGTCTAGCATGGTAGCTACGCACATGTAAAACATTATTATGTGTATTAATTATGTTCGTGATAATAAACCAATTATACCTGACGTCTACTATGCATCGCTGTGAATAAATGAACTAACTATGTTACACATCCTTATGAATAGATGAACTATGTTACACATCCTTATGAATAGATGAACTATGTTACACATTTTCAACAAAAACTATGTAGCAATATGTGGAAAAGTATTAGTTACTCTAGTAACGAATTCTTATTGGCCTCTATCCGTTACTGGCTGATCCTAGAGATAACTAATATGAAAATAAGGCTTTCCCCCCATCTCGGTTCTAAGGCTATCATTGTCGTTTGTGTTGGAATAAGCTATAACCCCCAGAATACAGCACTTCGGCAATTCAATGACAGACCTACGGCCACGCAATCCACCTTACTTTGAAAACGAAAGAGAATAAAGCAAAGAGACCAACCTTTACATACGACTGAAATGTCCTCTCGGTGATCACAGTTATGTCTCTGCCACCCAGAATGTTTACAATCCGCTAAAGAAGCCTCCAAGCCGGTACAGAGAACATCATCCAACCAGATAGGCCCAGCACCTGGACCGTAAAACTCTTTAATACCTGTCCTATAAATTAATACATATTACCAGTAGTGATGACATAGTCCATATAGCGCGCTGTGAGGACAATCGCGCGCATATACGTCTGTGCAATGAGGACAATCGTGCCCGTACATACATGCTAAGGTCTACTCTTATTTTCAATTTCAACTGTCAAGAGATTATTAACCCCAGGTATGCCCTTTCTTGTCAACTAATGGTACGGCCAATGAACCAAGCGTACATTATTTACACTAGTTGAAATTTGGACCCGAGTGAGGTATTCCATTGTAAAGCACATGCGAGTGTCTGTATTTTAAATTGTTTAATGTCTCGCTCTTGACCATTTAACCACACATAAATACCAAACGGAATTGAACCATTTTGGACTGATATTCCTCTAACAGATATATCTTTCAGATTATTTAAATAGGAGTCATTGATATCCATGTTACGATAATAAACAAAGTCTCGATTATCCAATTTTAAATTAAATTATTAAATTGTGATAGTGTTTCAATCCGTTCAAAATCACAATCATCCGATGGTCTACAATGTTTATTATGGGCTTGTCATGGGAATACATGTCTAATTAATAATTTATATAACCTTTTATTATGAGCTTGTCATGCGAATAAATATCTAATTAATAATTTTTATAACATTTGACGTCAAAAGAAAGACATACAATGTGCAGATTTTTCCCTTACATAATGCATCTTTTATTTAATTTATTTGGTATTTCGGCTTGGTAGATTATAGGCATGAGTTAGATAGGTATACATTACATACGGGTTATATCCAAGATGTCGACACACAACCATTTCTTCTTCCGGTCCCCAGTAGTCATCACAAATCGTACCCCAGGTATTATTGTATAAAACCTCTACCCTTCCTTCAAGTTGGCTTCGTCCACCAACAAGGCGATATGTTAAAGCTATTAAAATATAAAAATAACATCTGTCACCTACCAATACACAAATGTAATGAAATGAAATTGGGTTTAACGTCCTACTGTTCTGCGCTGACTGCCATGGACTAATGAAGGCGGTCATACGTTATACAGTGTGCTATGACGGAAATGTTGTTGCCCGGACGGCGGCAGTACGGCCTACTCTTATACCGAATTCCAACTTTCAGTGGTTCTTTTATGTGCACGCCAGTGTGTATGCGGGACCTCCGTTTTTTGTCCCACCATAACGACTATACCGTGTCTCTTGTCAGCTCCTCGGCCCTGAGCAACGGGGAACAACCCCTTAAAATCCCGATGGGCATTCTGGATCACAGGGATCGAGCACAGGACCCCAGGATAGCGAGCCAACCTTTTTTTTGTTCTCAGTCTTACTCACTGAGCCACCCTAGCTCCCTAAATACACAAATAAACTATGTGTGATGTATCAATATAGGCATTGTGGTACATCAAAGATCATTCAAAAAGCTACCTGTGTGTTTGAAATCTGACCCGGTTAAATAAAATATTCTAACAAATTAAAAAGTTCTCTCTTGCAGCATCAAAATGCACGTAAACGTTTAAATTGGAAAATATACCAATATGAAAGCTTCCACGTCAATCTATGTGAATGGATTCTATTTAACTAGGGGTGATTTGAAAGATATAACCACCATTTACGTAGTAGTTTGTTCGTACAATGAAGGGATTTTATGTAAGTTTTTAAACAATAGCCATTTAGTAGTGTGTTCGTACGGGGCAAAAACAATTTATATTTTTAGGATGATCAAGCCAGTAGTTGACTGACCATATTACAAGATGCAAAAGACGCAAATCATAGATCTCTCACTGATTCGATGATGAGTTGGTGGATCTCAATGATTGCACAGGAGAGAGGAATAGGTTTGCTTATTGAACAACCGTAGGTCGGATAATAGACGGAAAAAAGTCATTGATGCTTTGTTTGTTATTTATATTATCTTTGGAAAGGGTTAAGTAATCTGCTAAAACCTAGTTCAAAATTACTGGCAGTCTACGTGTGTTCGGAAACCGTAGAAGGTCGCAGAATGTCCGTACAGACTTTTGGTCCTGTACATACAAAATTTTCACACGGTTTTTTGCGGCTGATCTGCGAGCTACCAAATCCTACGTCTCAAAACACGTACGGCGGATTGTGAGCTAGGCTTTGCTAAAATTTCCTCCGTATACTGCCCGTAGTAGCAGGTACGGCAAGTTATGAGCTGGACCAGCCGTATAAATTTCTCACCCGGTCTCTTGCGACTGGTTTGCGAGCTACCAACCCCTATACAACCCATTCGTGTCAAAACACGTACGACTGGGTGTGAGCTATCTTAAAATGGCTTAAAGTGTAGACATAGAGTGTAAATTTTGTGTAGTTACAAGCTTTATCTATGTAAGTTTATATCTTTTGTCTTTCATTATTGTGTTTTAAAACCAACACGCCATTTAAACATAGACATCAATTCATCTTGTATGAAATGGTTTTACAAAGTTTATTTAATAATACATCAGTGTTGTCATTTACATCTATTTCGTGTCAAAAATAACCTTACATCGCAAAATGTAACTACAATAATAGTCAAATATAATGACGGAAGTTGTATGGCTCGGAAATGTCAGGCTATACATTTTTAGTTCACACCAACTATTATTTGTCATGGTGGAAGAGGGATGGTATTGGAGAGTGGGTGTGGTGGTGTTCGGGCAAGGGGGGGGGGGGTAAGCATACTATCGATGCATTGTTGTGTATATAATATTGTACATTTTCACCTGCAATTATTGAAATGTACATATTGAATATTTTAATCATTATGTAACTAAAACTCGACGGATAATCTTCTAAACAATAGTAAAATTAGAAATGACAATAAACTCTTCCGGTTGTTCCTAATTTAAATTCTAATTCTCGCCCCTGTATTATTAGACGACAATTATTCTTTGATGTGTATCACCCATACATATAGAAAAAAATTCATATATGATAATCACGCAAGGTTTATGTCTTTTTCTAAAGTAAGAGACATTATTATTCTGTCACGTCTGTCACGGAAGAATGACAATAGTAGTTGTCTGTCAAATAAACATATCTAAATATTATGAGTAAAGTACAACGTGCAAAAATAATACAAAATTAAGCGGCCCATACACGTTCAATCTTTTTCGTCAATCAATTAATGATGGCAATTAATTAATATAAATTAAATGGCGAAATTGACCTTGCCCACACACGATAAATGTTTTAGCCTCAATTTTCATTCTGATCGAAAACTATGAGATGAAAGTAACACACGGTATATTTAATTTATTCAATTAAATTGGCGTCGAATTAATTGAAACAATTTAACTGAATCAATTAATTGGCCGATCAAAGTTCCTTTGATATTTATTGACGGCTCGTGAATTAAATTGACCGTTCGTCATATGATACAGCATCCGGGCCATCGTCCCTTAACTCCTTGGGAAATCGGGCATTTTTGGCCCTCTTACTCAACTTTTTTTCCATTTAGAATGTCCTTGAGGTCAATAACCATGTCCAGTGACAGGGATGCTTTCATTTCGAAGTTTTCGGTCAGAATGAAAATTGATGCTAAAACTGATTGATCGTTTATGGGCAAGGTCAGTTTCGTCAATAATTAACGAAAGAATTGAACGTTTATGGGCTGCTTAAATCATATAATATGCATAATAAGTAAATGAAACGGTGTTTAACAATTTTCACTGAGCCATCAAATGGAAAATGAAAGATACAAATATATAATAGGAACACCATATATACCTGAATCGTTTTGTTGAATTCTGCCTTCACAATTTGTACACGATACATCAATATCCCCTAGATCTGTAATAAACAATTAAAAAGTTTATATCCATTATGCTTTATCACTTATTCAGAATATAAAATAAAAAAATAATTCTGATGACCGTCAAAATAAAGTGAAATGAGACTTTGTTGTAACACTTGGGGGTGGTGAACTAGTGGGCCAACGCGTGCGCGCGAAACCATAAGGTCTGTCATTGAGAAAAGTGGCGTGCTTTCGATTCTTCGCTTGTATGTGAAAACGAGTAGGGTAGCCTGGTCAACCTCGTGAACCCGAACTTAGCTATTTTATCTCCCTTTAACGTAGAAACGTGATCAATAGCGTCCAATCAGAGGTTGTGACACAAACACACTCAAATACAAACATGGCGACCTCCACGGAGACCTTGAACGAACCTTGAACTTTGCATCAGAAAGTGAGAGAAATAGTATTCGCGATGATCGGGGAATCTGATAGACCCCACCTGGGTCAGTAGCCGATCGAAATTAGTGCCGAAATATCCAGGATAGTGCGTGAAGGGCTTGATTAATACTGATTTCCAAGGCAACAACCGCAGATGTCAAATGATTATTGAATCTTCAAATACAAACACAATGAATGAAAGTCAAGCTAAGAAAGTTGAAAGTATTTCACTAGAATGAATAAAAGACAAGCTATAAAAGTTTTAAAAATCTTACTAGAATGGATGAAATGCGTGCTATAATAGTTTAAAGTATTTCACTATAATGAGTGAAAGATAATAGTGTAAAACATCTTACTAGAATGGGTGAAAGTCAAGCTATAATAGCGTAAAGCATTTCACTATAATGGATGAAAGACAAGCTATAATAGCGTAAAGCATTTCACTATAATGGATGAAAGACAAGCTATAATAGCGTAAAGCATTTCACTATAATGGACGAAAGACAAGGTATAATAGTGTTAAGCATTTCACTATAATGGACGAAAGACAAGGTATAATAGCGTAAAGCATTTCACTATAATGGACGAAAGACAAGGTATAATAGCGTAAAGATTTCACTATAATGGACGAAAGACAAGGTATAATAGCGTAAAGCATTTCACTATAATGGATGAAAGACAAGCTATAATAGTGTTAAGCATCTTACGAGGATTAATGAAAGACAAGCTATACTAGTTTAACACATCTAACTAAAAGGGACGAAAGACACACTATACTAGATTAAAGCATCTAACTAGATGAGATGAAAGACACACTATACTAGATTAAAGCATCTAACTAGATGAGATGAAAGACACACTATACTAGATTAAAGCATCTAACTAGATGAGATGAAAGACACACTATACTAGATTAAAGCATCTAACTAGATGAGATGAAAGACACACTATACTAGATTAAAGCATCTAACTAGATGAGATGAAAGACACACTATATACTAGTTTAAAACGTCTTAATAGAATGAATCAAAGACAAACTATAAAAGTTTAATGTATCTTATAATAGTTTAATGTATCTTACTAGAATGAAAGTACATCCATAGAACATCTTCCACATTAACAGACGAGACGTCAATCTCTAGCTTAATTTGTTGACCTGTTACATCCAGATATTGAAAGAAAACAACCACACCATCATTTGAACAGTTGAATAAAGTCTGATTCAGTGAAGATATTTTGATTTTTGAACAGGATTCTGGGCTAAGGTTGATGTATAAACTGGCAATACGGATTAGATCATTACTGGTTATATCACACGTGCACTTTAATCCCCGGTCTCGTCGACTGATTCCATTAAAATACAACAAAAACTCTTTAGATGTTGTCATCTGAGATATGTTCAAGAGGTTAAAATTTCTCAGAGCTACAAAAAAAGAAAAAGAAATGCACCAATAGGATTAAAAACATGGAATTGTCTATCGATGAGAGAGAGAGAGAGAGAGAGATGGGGTTTAACGTCCACTCGACACAAACTAGGTCATTTCGGGACTAACATATGGTTAAATTTTATTTCAATAATTCGCTTGTGCGTAGGGGTCTTTAGCAGTGGGAGGAAACCGGAGGACCCGGAGAAAACCCACGAGGTTGGAACCACGCCAGTCGACTCAATGACAGACTTTATGATACAGCGCGAGCACGCTAACCATTCAGCCCCCCCGTCTATCGATGAGCAATTTTCCAAGTAATATGCTTGGCAAGTTTCTTGTTGATCGGACTTGAAATGGCGTAGTCTTAGACTTTTTTCGAAGAGTGTCACCCGCCCCCCCCCCCCCGCCCCTAGGAATAATAACCAGATGAACAGCAGGGTAAGCAGCACCTGGAGTCCAGTTCCGGATAACAAATAAGACCAGTCGTAACAACATATTTGTTCTCGATGTCTGACGTATGAAATCTGGATGTAAACATGTGACGATGTCTACCGCTGGTATTGGGGACACTAATACGCACGTCACGGCTGGATATCCGGCCACTCGTGTTCAAAGGTTTAAAACCGATTGTTGCATTTACGGCAAATATTTAAGTTGCAATTAACAGGCGATTCAAAGTCACGGGTTGGCTCATACGGTTCAGCAGTATATATTTGTTCAATAGTTAGAACTACAACGAATTAGCAGGATTGTTTTGAAAATTGGAAATTACCTGAAACGACCATTCCGGTTGTAACTTAGTAGTACGACACCCACCCATAAAAAGACTTAAAGACAGTCCGTGCCTTTTTTTCTCACTGGATTGTTGTGTGTCTAATTAGTTTGGTTTGCGTGCTTCACCGATCAACACTTTCTCCATCCACCCCATTACTATTCCCGCGGGGGGGGGGGGGGGGCAATAGTTAGTACGTGCGCGCTGTATCATAACGTCTGTCATTGAGTCAACTGGCGTGATTTCGAATCCTCGGTTGTACGTGACAAGAGTAGTCCAACCTTGTGAGTTTTCTCCGGGTCCTCCGGTTTCCTCCCACCCAGTGCTAAAAACCCCTACGCGCAAGCGAATTATTAAAGTAAAATTGAACGATGTGTTAGTCCCGATATGACCTAGTTTGTTTCGGGTGGACGTTCAACCCCATTTCTCTCTCTCGCGTGTCGATGTGTGTGATTCGCCCCACACTCACCATTCTATTGGGGGACGGCTAGATCTATTTCTTAAGGCCACTTACATGAAAGTAGGGTTAGGGCACGTGATTGTTGACGAGTCGGAGCAGAACAGTAGGACGTTAAACCCCATTCATTTCATTTCCAAACCTCGGGGTGGCCTTAAAAAATAGATCTAACCTTTGGAGGACTAGGACAATATGTTAAGGGTCTCGTGCGTATATCTTTTTTCTTGATGCCTGTGATGTCTGTGATTCACCCGCCCCCTCTCCCAACGCCCCTTCCCTCTTCCATTCACTATTTGGTTTAAATGAAATGAAATGGGGTTTAACGTCCTACTGTTTTGCTTCGAACTGGGCTAATGAAGACGGGCATACGTCATACAATGTGCTATGAGGTAAATTTTGCCCGGACAGCGGCACTACGGCCTACTCTTATATCGAATTCCAACTGTCAAGGGATCTTTTACGTGCACGCTAATGTGTACACGGGACCTCGGTTTTTCGCACCACGCGAATGACTAGACAGCTGTCCTTGTCAGTTCCTCCGTTCTGCATCACTGACAAGGGGGTATCACGCCGGAAAATCGGGATGAACTTTCTAGGCCAATGCAGGGATCGAACACCCGACCTCCAGCGTCTTACCCACTTAGCCTCCGTGACCCCTATTTGGTTTAAGATAGCATTAAATAAAACTTACTTGGTATACAGGCGTACCAATAATGAACATAATTATAGTTTGTGAGGTTTCCTGGTGTGTACGGTGAAGAAAAGACACACGATTGTTGATTAGCACATTTCCCATTAACCATCTTACGATCCTCTAGACTCGCATCTACAAATGGCTCCATATCTTTAATAGAGTTTTCATATTGACAACACGCGCTACTGCTACATTGGTCGTCTTGTACAGCTGAACAACTGGCTTGGTCCCTCTTTTTGCCATAAGATATTTTATAAAAAGCGAGAACTTGACCCTCGGCACAGCTTAAAGTATGCTGGGTACATGGTGATCCGGGTGGTCCATAACAGCCGTACGCTGTTTCGCAATCTATAACGTTTGCTGAAATAATTGAAACAATACTATGAAGATGATAGCACATGAACTCATTTCCAGGAATGGGTTACATTTGATGAAATGTTGTTTAATGGAAGATGTACATGAGAAAATGTAAATGCCACCTCTATCATCAGCACCACGATGTGGAAATTGAACCTCTATAAAATAGAATAAACGCTATAAAACAGTCAAGCGTGTCCAAATTAAAGGGATAGTTGCATTTTTAAGGCATATTATGTTTAGAATATGTTAAAATATGTCCCTAAAACATATGGAATCTGTACACAGTGCTATCGTGTTAAGGAATAATGCTATTAATCCTAAAATTCAAAATTGGCAAATATATCATTTTCTAGTTGAAACATCAACGTTGAGCTATGCCAATTCCACTGAGCGTATGGAAACCAAAGGTGGTATTTTTTCAGTTATCTCCGGTGTTTAAAGCACTAGAACGATTCCCATGATTGTACCATAATCTAGCCAACGTTGAGCTTTGCCAATTCCATGGAGCGTATAGAAACGAACGGAGATATTTTTCAGTTATTTCCGATGTTTAAAGCACTAGAATGATTCATATAATTGTATCATAATCTAGCCATGTACAACCTAGTCATACAATCTCCTAAATGCATGCACAACCTAGCCATGCGGTATCATAAATGCATATACCTAGCCGTGCGATCTCCTAAACGCATGTACAATCTAGCCATCAGATGTAAATATATGCGCAACCTAGCCGTGCGATCTCCTAAACGCATGTACAATCTAGCCATCAGATGTAAATTTATGTACAACCTAGCCGTGCGATCTCCTAAACGCATGTACAATCTAGCCATCAGATGTAAATTTATGTACAACCTAGCCATGCGATCTCCTAAACGCATGTACAATCTTACCATGAGATTGAAATATATGTAAAACCTAGCCATGCCATTTCTTAAATGCTTTGTCAAATGAAAATAAAAATCTACCTGAAACTAGCCATAAAATAATACCGATGAATATTCTAGACTTTACTGCCATACTTCAGTAGATGGAAACTATATTAACTGCTTCCTCAAGCACACCTAGTTTGTAAAACTTGCAATAGTTTTATATAGCCTGTTTTATTTGGAGGCCTAAGTTTGGCTGGATAATTAATCTTGGTATATCCACTGTGACAACTTTAACTGTTTAGAAATGGCATAAAAAAATATATTAGACAGCCTACTATGTTATAACAATGTCTAACATAAAGGTCACGTCAGTGACAACCAGTCTTGACCTTTAACCCAGTAACCATAGCGTCGGTTGGAACGTATGTCACATTCCACTTGTGCAGTAATCTTTAATACCTTGACTTACAAATCATGTATGTCCCAGCCCCTTATATTAAATGTGTATAACTTGTGTCCTATTATCATGTACTGTTTTGGTTCGTGACTTCCGCTAAATTTAGGCGTTTATTTGTGATTGTCCGGGCTCTAATGCTCGTTAACGAATATTAAGCTTTGTACTTTTTGAATATGAAATCTGTTTTACCATGAGCAGCTGTCACTTGACAAGGCCTACAATTGTTTATCCTTCGGCTTGTCTTCATCTATGCCGCCACCTAATATGACCGTATGTAAGCGGTAAATACAATGTATATATTTGCTGAGATTGGCACTTCTCAATTTCGTTAAAAGACGTTGGTTCGGTTATTCTATGGAGGAATCTGAGCTCATATATTTTTTCTATTGCTATTCCAGACAAAGCGTAAATCGAAATGGGGAGCCGCTGCGGTGGCCGAGTGAGTATACTGGCCACCTAGCCTGGAGATATTGCATTCGTTCTAGTTGTTGGGCGAGAAAGTTCATCGGATCTGCACAACAAGGTCAATTAGTTGAGGCAGACCCCGTGAGCTCCCTTGTGCTGTTTTGAGGAATACAGCACACAAAGCGAACTCAAAACCTAGAGAATTTTGTTTTCAAATATCTACTCAATAAATATAATTATAGTTTAGTATAAGCATAATTATACTAAAACGCTCATCCAGATATATATATTGTAATTGTAATGGATGTCTTGCTGTCTATAATAATAATAATCAGTCCATTTATATCGCGCTTATTCCACATGGTCGTGTTTTAAATCTGGATTTAAAGGAGTCTAATGATGGACTGGATCGAAGATTCTCAGATGGCGAGTTCCACAAATTGTCAGTGTAGGCGTTTGCTCAATGCGTCCCAACGCTTCCCTACACACACCAATAATCTTCTTTTCCCCCAAAACAGTGACAATACATTTAGAGGAAAATACAGTTTATTGACATCAATACTGGAAGGTACACCTATCTAGGAGACGTAATTTTAGATATAGACGGAGTATATTGGAGACGATTAACTGAAAATAAAATAAAATATATTGCTAATAAAATATTACAAAATATATTGTTCATTATTAGGCCACGTAACTAGTACCAGAATAAGTACACACACACCCTATCTTCAATTTATGTTTTCTATACATCCTTATCAGTTCTGGGAACACTACATTAATTTTCATCACCTTTGACCTAAGTTGACAGTAAGATTCTGTAAGGGTGGTCTATATAGTACATATATGTACTAAAATGGACTCTTCCAAATTACCAGCTTGCAGACGCAATGTAAATGAATGGTACCAAGTTTTATATTAAAATTTTCACTAAATAATTCAAATTTGAAGAAACAAAGACAACATATTATTCTTAGATTAGCACCTAATAGTAGCACATAGAAATATCAAAAACCTTTCATACAAAATATGCAAGAAATAATTAATACAAAGATCCCAATCAGTGCACTAGAGACATAACAGCACCGAGCACAATCACTTGTAAATGACAGGCAAAACAATATTTCTTAGCATTAACTATATGACATCTTCTTATAAAACAATTATAATGTACATACCAAGTTGTCTACTACCAAGGTTCCAAAACAAGTTTATAATCAGAGAGTACCAAAGAGCGGCTTGTACTATTTAAAAGAGACCCGCATGACAGAAAAAATTATTCTTAAACAAAAAAGCTGTGACGTAGAACATACGTATCAAGAAATAGTCTTGGTTATCTATGTCTGAAATTTTTTAACTTAACAGTCAGCAACAACACCAAATGAGCAAGTTCCAAAGGGGTTGAGTTAATAATTTGGGACACGCATTGATATTTAAGAGACATCAATTTGCTGTCAATTCTCGCTTGCACTGGATGCTAGCAAAGCGACCTAAGTACCGGGGAGATACTGTCGCTCACGATCCACGCTGCCTTGTTTTGTATGGGCTGTAGTTTATATATTGATGCTTTATTGATTCCGGCAAGTAAACTATTGCAGTAGTCCAAACGGGAAATTACAAGAGGACGGGCTAGCGTTGCCGTTGCGGGAGGAGGAATTAGATTGCCGATGAAACCAATATTGTGGAGATGGAACACACATTTTGAACAAACATCGTCAACCTGTTTATTCATAGATTGCCTATAATGGGATAGGACGAAACATTGAATATCACAAGGTTTCTACGGATACTAACTTTCTAACATATACAGGGCACAGAACACTTACTTGTATGTTTATTCATGTTATTGACTCTTTCAATCTGAAAACCAAAGCTCAAAAGTCGTATGATCGTCATCAGGATATCGTTGACCGCTGTATCTTGTCTTTCTTTGTCCGCCCAGATTGCAAATATGTTTAGTATCAATTTCAAATACAACGACAGCGGCCGGGGTCCTTGTGAATTTATCCTGTGTGAACCAAGATTTTCAAGCTATTTCCAAAACACTTGGTACTATGTTTCATTATCTGAATAATCTTATATGGTTTCTTCACTTTTATTTTATGGTAAATGAATGTTTACTATGGTTAATGTAGTATTCCTATGTTAAATCAACAGATGTTATGTTGCGATGTAGTCTTCCTATGTTAAATCAACAGGTGCTATGTTGTGTAATGTAATGTTCCTATGTTAAATACATATTGACTATGGTCTGATTCCTATGTTAAATCAACAGATGCTATGTTGCGACGTAGTATGTTAAATCAACAGGTGCTATGTTGTAATGTAGCATTCATTCCTATGTTAAATCAATAATTATTATGCTCTTATGTAGCATTCATTCCTATGTTAAATCAGTATTTACTATGGACTGATGCTATGTTAAATCAATGTTATGCTGTGATGTGTTATGTTGTGATGTAGAATATCTATGTTAAATCGAAATGAAATGAAATGGGGTTTAACGTCCTACTGTCTATGTTAAATCAAAAGGTACTTTAATTTGGTGTAATATTGTTATGTCAAATCAATATTGTACTATGTTGTGATGTTGTATATCTATTTTAATTCAGTAGTCGTTGTGTTTTATTATGTTTTGATCTAGCATTGCTACTGAAATTCGGGGAACACGGTGGCTAAGTGGGTAATACGTTGGCTCGCTAGCTGGAGGTCGGGTGTTCGATCCCTGCATTGACCGAGAAAGCTCATCCAGATTTGCCGTCGTGGTGCTCGCTTGTCAGTGATGCAGGACGGAGGGCCTGACAAGGACAGCTGTCTAGTCGTTCGGGTGGGACAAAAACCGAGGTCCCGTGTACACGTAAAAGATCCCTTGACAGTTGGAATTCGATATAAGAGTAGGTTATAGTGCCACTGGCGGGCAAAATTTCCCTCGTAGCATACTGTATGGCGTATGCCCGTCTTCAGTAGCCCAGTTCGGAGCAGAACAGTAGGACGTTAAACCCCATTTCATTTCATTTCATTTGCTATTGAAATTCAATAGGCACTATGTTTTGATTCAGAATTCCTATTCTAATTCAATATGTACTATGTTTTGATATAGTATTTCTACGTTAAATCAATAGGCACTACCTGTCACTATGTAATATCCTTATTTTAAATAAAAAAAGGTACTATTGTTCAAAACCCAGCTTAGGCATGGGGGACCCAGGCCCAGGGCCCCGCGTTTAGGCGCCCCGCGGTTGAATGGCAAAAAAAGAAAAAAATTCAAATTCCAGATGAAAGTTTCGCGGTAATAGATCTTGCGGCGCAATGGCGGAGAATTAGCTATCCCTCAACCTTCTCTGTGAAGTTGCACTCGGTGATCGGTCTAGGCTTCTAGTGGCGCGATGGGTGGGGACTGGGTGAGTCTGCAATCTCTCAACCTTTTCTGTGATTGGTCGAAACCGGTGATGAGAGATCTCTTGGTGTACTTGCGAATTTGAAAAGTGAGAAAAGATCAACCCTCACTCAAGAGAAAACTCCTAGCTTAAGCTCTACTAGCTATTGAGAATGAACTTCTCCGAACACTGGATGATGAGATGATAATCGATGAGCTCAGTTGATTTCACTTATTATACCAGTTCCCCGTCTTTATATGTCATTTCCGCGCATTGTATGCTATTATAGGAACTGAATAGATTTCGTATGTGATCAGATGTAATTATTCTTGTATTACAGACCGTGTAATTGTGTGTTACGCATGCATGCAATTCAAAAGGATATGAAATAATCTTTTCGTCACGTTAGGGGTCCCGCGATTCGACTCCGATTAAGCTGGGCTTTGCTAATGTTTTTGAAGTAATGTTATGTTAAATAAATGCGTAAAAGATCCCTTGGTAGTTGGAATTCGATATAAGAGTAGGCCGTAGCGCCCAGTCGAAGCAGATCAGTAGGACGTTAAGCCACATTTCACTTCATTTCATTTGTTAAATGTAGTATTATTATGTTAAACAAATAGGTGCTATAATGTTTAATGACGTAGTGTTCCTATGTTAAATCACTGGGTACAGTGTTATCTTAATTATTAATTAGACATTAATTAACTTACCAAGACCATAATCAACTCTCGATGCCATGGGATGGCTGCGATGTTTAGTGGATTTAAACACGTTTTGTGGTGGGTGGAATAACCGTAAAAATATTTATTATCGTAACAACGGTAGTAATGACGACCGAGGAAAGCCTAAAATAAATTGAATGCTAATAACTAGGTTCAGAGTGAAGCAATTTGACCAAAATTTTCAGCATATTTTCTTTTATTATCTATTACAACGAGAACTGTCAACTCGTTATCTAATCTTTACAGAAATTCCCCTTTTAAGTAGGCTACAACTGAATTCCAATCCCGACCTATTTTTCTTGTCGGTTACCACAACTGAGCCCATACATCAAAACGCCCCAAACACACTACCATCCCTACAGCCAGCAATATTAAATATTGTCTCATTTTATATAGGTATATAAATTGTCCCCTTTCCGTTACAGATTTACAGAGACGTCAATAATGTGTGACGTGGAAAGGAGTCACCGTGACAGTAGTTCGCTAACTAGTTGCTTAGCCGAGAAGGCTCCTTGGGATTTTCCGTCTTGTGCCTGTTTTTATTTTGTCATTGATGCTGGATGCAGGGTGGGATGAAAAACCGAGGTCCCACTTATATCATAAGCAGAACCCTCGACAGTAGGCGCAGGTCGTAGGTAAATATCTCTTATAGCACACTGTGTGGCGTGGGTAAGACGCTGGATCGCTAGTCTGGGGGTCGGGTGTTCGATCCCTGTATTGGCCGAGAAAGTTCATCCAGATTTTCCGTGTTGCCCCCCCACTTGTCAGTAAGGACAGCTGTCTAGCTGTTCTCATGGGACGAAAAACCGAGGTCCCGTGTACACATTGGCGTGCACATAAAAGATCCCTTGACAGTTGGAAGTCGATATAAGAGTAGGCCGTAGCGCCGCTGTCAGGGAAGAATTTCCCCCATAACACACTGTATGGCGTATGCCCGTGTTCATTAGTCCAGTTCGGGGCAAAACAGGAGGACGTTAAACCCCATTTCATTTCATTTCTTTATTACGCATATCAGTACCTAAAAGTAGGCAGTTAAAACAGAACAGTAGGACGTTAAACCTATTTCATTTTATTTCATTTAATTTCAGGACACTAAAAACCCCATTGCATTTGATTTCGATACCTGGTACTAAGGAGGCACACATTTAAGTAGTGTACACAATTGAACAAATAAAAATAACAACAATGAGTATAATTAATGTATTTTATTTACCAATTGGGAAATTTAAAAAAAATATATTTTTCAAGTAACGATTAGTCTGTAACACCGGTTTTCTATTATAAATGTCAAAATCAAAATTAAAAATAATACTAAACAAAAAGGTTAGGTCCGTTTACACGGGGTTTCAGGTAAATTGACCTTATTGAATGTTGTTATTAGCATTAAACTTTATATTTCTTAATTAAATTACATTGCCTTTAGGTACACGCAATTTAGGGGTATCTCTGGTTGGTCAGCATTAACTAAGTATTGTTATGTACATGTATATATTGTCTTGTTATATTTTCATATTTTATCATTGCTTAATAATGACTAGAGAATCCTAGTCGAAACGTCGAAATAAGCAGTAATTGTATTCCATAGGATTGTGACCTGTATATTCCATCTTGTAGTCTAAACTTTTGGACCGTTTCCATAAGTCTTTGGTTGAAAGCTTGTCGTGTACGGAACTGGAGCGCTCTGAAATTAGAAGATTAACGTCAATAAAGGAAGAGAGAGAGAGAGAGAAATGGGGTTTAACGTCCACTCGACACAAACTAGGTCATTTCGGGACTAACATATGGTTCATTTTATTTCCATAATTCGCTTGCGCGTAGGGGTCTTTAGCAGTGGGAGGAAACCGGAGGACCCGGAGAAAACCCACGAGGTTGGACAGGCGACCCTACTCCTTGTCACGTACAACCGGGGATTCGAAACCACGCTAGTTGACTCAATGACAGACTTAATGATACAGCGCGCACGTGCTAACCACTAAGCCATCCACCCCCCCCCCCCCCCCCCAATAAAGGAAGATGTAAAATGCAAATACTTTAAAATCAAATAACAATAAATACTTTCAACACCCGTCTGAGTTTTCTCTTGACCTATTGAGAAAATAAATATCACTCATTTTGTTACACAAAGCCTGAAGAGGCATTATATAAGATTCAGATAAAGGGCTGGTCAGATAATGCAAAATAATATTTAAAATATTTTCGAATTACTTTATTCTGGGCTAAGTTATCACCGTTTGAAAATTTTTTCAAGATGTGGCATAAATTGCTTTTATCGTAACAACGGTACTTGTTATTCGAGACTTCGGCATTTTAAAATTAAATCATTAAATGCCGAACCTTGTTTTAATCCGTTTAAATCTCCGCCATCCGATGGTCTAGAGAGTCGATTATAGACTTTCCATGTCAATAAATTTCTCAATAATAGTTTGTATAACATATGAAGCAAAACTAAAAACCTTCTTCAATCAGCTCTTACAAATTGCTTCTTTAAACAACCGTGTTGCTAGCTTCTGAACAATCGATTAAAACACAGATCCTATTTCGTTGAGTTTTTATAGTTTAATATTTCGTTTTACTTATCATTACTACACTAGGATCTGGAAGAGTTGTTATTATTGAAGTGTTCGGAAAGGTGTGAGGAATTTGCCAATTAAACGGTCAGTTACGGCGATCTTTAGGCGTGTTTTGCACGGAACTGAGGGTAACCAACTAGTAATATCTATGGTGATTGGTTAACCAAATGTGTGACGTCATAGGGTCAAAACCCGCTCTTATGACCTCTGACACGACCTATCGCTACAACCGGTCAGGCCTGTATTTTAATCAGACTGGATTCTGAATACTATGGCACTTACTTGAAAGACACCTCCGTATCGTCTCCGTCTGTAACTAGCAGCTGCTATTACGAAAAATATTACAAATGTAACTGATACACCAATACCACTATAAGTTCCAGTTGATAAATAATAAGAGGAGTAATAACAATTCCTCTCATCTGAATTATCACCACAGTCATCATAATTGTCGCATTCATCACTATCCGGTACACAGTTATCATTGTCACATTTAAACTCAAACAGAGCACATGTCTTTACTGAAAAAAACACCAACAAAACAATAACATACAAAATATAATTTATAAGGTTTTTTATACTGAAAAAAGAACGATATGGACACGGAACAGAGCATGTCGTCATCGTCGCATTCCAACGAACGAGCAATGATCCTACGCATTGACGGAGACTAGGGTTCTGCTCCGATTGGGTTAGGATTGGAATACACCAAAGAGTGTGCTGTGCGGGAAATTGTGCCCGGGCAGCGACGCTACGGCTCGAATTTCAACTGCCAAGGGATCTCTTATGTGTACGCCAATATGTACGCGGGACCTCGGTTTTCCATCCCATCCGAACGACGATAAGCTGTCCTGCAGCACTAACAAGGAGGGACGACGCCGGAAAATCCTTATGAATTTTCTCAGCCAAAGCAGGAATCTCCAGGTTAACGAGCCAACGTCCTACTTGACTCCCGAACAATTATTCAACGAACGAGTATGCTAAGTGTTACGTCGACACAAAGTAAGACGTTGGCTCGTTAACCTAAATGTTCAGTGTTCGATCCCTGCGTTGACCGAGAAAGTTCATTGGGATTTTCTGGCCTTGTCCTCCTTCGTCAGTAATGTAAGGCAGATAAGTAAGACGTTGGCTCGTTAACCTGGATGTTCAGTGTTCGATCCCTGCGTTGGCCGGGATTTTCTGGCGTTGTTCTCGCTCGTAAGTGGAAACTATAGACGTTCCCTTGGACACGGTGGGGTGCATGTAAAGGATCCCCTGGTCTTTTGAATTCGACATAAGAAGGAGATATAGCACCGCCGTTCTACAGCTTGGGTATGGGACGATAGTGTCTTTAATCAACAAGCATGAAGCAGACGTGACATTTCTGTGAAAACCAGAAACATCGACACGAGGTCTTTTAGGTCAATGTTAACAATAATTTTTAAGAGTTAAAACCTTGCAGGGGACGTTTCAGTGCGATGATGTATGTTTATATGAGGCAGATGCAATAACTCTAACTAAGCTTTTCGAGAAAACATTCAAAGACACACCGTCTTTCTGTGAGTCCTCAATCTCTTTATTTAAAGAGATTTCAAATGTGAGCAGTAACATCTACAAGTTCTTCGATACCTCATCAATGTACCAGAAAATAAGAATATCGGACAAAGCATGTTTAAGAACATCGAACAGAGGATGTTTAAGAATATCGGACAAAGAATGTTTAGACATATATTTAAGAACATAGAATTGGTAATTGTGGAGGATTGCATTCTCATTTATGTCAGATTTGATTGTACTCACCACAGCCTATTTCATCAGAATCGTCACCACAGTCATCCGCGTTATCACATTTATACCAACTTGGGATGCATTTGCCATTGAGGCACTGAAACTGGTTAGAAGAACAATCTGTAACTATATAAAACAAATACAAAATTATAACAAACATTTAAACATACATTATGCAAGAGGTAAATCTGCCTATTGTAGGTCTTTCTTTGAGTCTGAAATATAAACTATTAATTAGACATTTATTAACATCAAAATACCATAATCAACGCTCGATGCCATCTTATATGTTGGATTATCACTGGATTTGAATCCGATCTGCTCCTCAACGCTCATTGATGATTATGTTTTTTTATAATATCGACTTGAGTAATGATGATCGAGTCTAGGCCTAAAATTCAATCGCTAATATCTCGGTACAGAGTAGAGGAATTTGACTGATATTTTCAGCATACTTCCTTTACATTATCTAGTTTGTAAATATTATAGTGATAACTGTTAGCTCTTTATCAAATCTTCCATAATGGCACTTTAAACTGATCGTAAAATAGGATCAACTGGTTTGCGTTAAGATATTATAGCTATTCTGAAACTTAACTTTGTCAACATACATATTTAATCTTAAACACCAATTTATGAAGTAGAATTCATATTTGCAATGGATTGTTTTATCGCTTTTGACAGTTTTGATTGTACTCACAACAGCCTATTTCATCAGAGTTGTCACCACAGTCATCTTGGTTATCACATTTATACGCACTTGGGATACATTTGCCATTGAGACACTTAAATTGGACATCAGCACATGTATCTGTAAATATATATATAAAAAAACATAAATAAATTGTTTCAATGGAATTTAATAACTGAACTGGAATATACTATACAGGTCACATTTCTATTCTGAAATTTTGTCAACATATTTCTTATTTAATCTTAAACATCAATTCATGAAAGTAGTATTCCTATTTACGATGGATTTTTTAAATAATATTTGGCAGATTTAATTGTACTCACCACAGCCTATTTCATCAGAGTTGTCACCACAGTCATCTTGGTTATCACACTTATACGTCATTGGGATACATTTGCCATTGAGACACTTATACTGGTTTAAAGAACATGTGTCTGTAACTATATAAAAGCAGGGTTAACGTAAACCATAATTAAATTGTTTCATTGGAATTTAGTAATTGAACTGGAATATACAGGTCACAAGTCTATGGAATAAAATTACAACTTCTCTTGTCATTATCAAACAATGATGAAATAAAACATGTAAAACAACAACACTTGGTTAATGATGACCTACCAGAGACGCCCTTGAAGGAAACGTAACTTAAACATACATTATGCAAGAGCTAAATCTGTCGTTAGGCCTGAAATGTTAACTAAATCATTAATTAGACATTAATTAACCTATCCAAACCATAATCAACTCTAGATGACATCGCTAGCCTGTCATCTTAAGTGGATTATGAGCCGATTTACTGCATAACTTTCCTTCACGATTTAACGATTAAATAGATAATCAAGACTGTGATGTTTATCGTACTGACTTTAGTAATGATGATAGAGGCTAGGCGGGAATTTCAAACGCTTAGGGGGGGGGGGTTGGATGGCCGAATGGTTAGCGCGCGCTGTATCATACGGTCTGTCATTGAGTCAACTACATTGAAAAGGGTCGCCTGTCCAACCTTGTGGGTTTTCTCCGTGTCCTCCGGTTTCCCCCCACTGCTAAACACCCCTACGCGAAGCGAATTATTGAAATAAAATCAAACCATATGTTAGTCTCGAAATGACCTAGTTTGTCTCGAGTGGACGTTAAATCCAATTTCTCTCTCGCGCTCTCTCTCTCTCAAACGCTTAGTTCTCGGTTCATAGTGGATTAATTTGACTGAAATTTTCAGCAAATACCCTGTACATTATCTAGTTTTTAACTATTATAGTGAGAACTTCCAACTCGTTATCGAATCTCCCATAATGTATCTTTAATTAAAGTAACTATGAAAATATCTCTGGGTTCTACGCCTGACTAAATGTGATTAGCTCGAGAGCTAAATATTACCGCAATATTATACACGAAAGGAGAGGATTCAACGCGTGCACTTCAGACCACAGGGTCTGTCATTGAGTTAAGTGGCAAGAAATGGGCTAGTTTCTGTCGAGTAAGTTCACAAGATGGTGGCCTGATACGAAGACAATAATATCACTTAAGTTGCAATTCTTATTGTCTATGATTCATTACGATTGTTTCAGTCAAATTGATCTATCCTTTAAGGACTTAGAACTTTTCAGACAACACTCGTGGGTATGAGCGATTACGTTATCGGCTTACGCAGTTTATTGTACTCACCACAGCCCTTTTCATCAGACATATCACCACAGTCATCCTGGCTATCACATCTGTATGACTTGGGGATACATTTACCATTGAAGCACTTAAACTGGTCACCAGAACATGGTCCTGTAAATATGATCAACCACCAACCTTCTTATTACAAACTTACAAGGAACACGTGTGGACTGTGACAACAAGGACATTTAAACATATAAATTTGATCTGCCACTAATAGAAATAAAATGAAATGAAATTAGGGTTAACGTCCTACTATTTTGCCCCTACTCTGATAATGAAGACGTTTATATGTCATGCAGTGTTTCTTGAGGGAAAATGTGCTCGGGTTCTTTTACATGCCCGCCAATGTGTTCAGATCCCCTGTCCTGCACGGGGGAAATACGACCCATGAATTTATCATAAGTACTGTAATTAGTTTTGTTACCGAAAACAAACAATTCAATTTTCGCTCCACTGCGATAGAAATTCTTTGTAATCATCTGTATGTCAACTTCAATTATCCATTCTTACTATCGAAGAATAAAAATCTAACATATATTTTGTGGGATCGGATACAAGTTTAAAACGACGGAGTTACCTGTATTTACACACGATTCTTCATCCGAATTATCACCACAATCATTCAGTCCATTGCACCCGGAACTCAAAGAAACACATCTACTGTTGTTGCAGTGAAAAGCATTTTCGGTGCAGTTTGAACCTGAAATAAAAAGAAACAAAAAAATAAATCAAGCATTTGGTTTAGTCTGACAAACATCTGAAATAAATACTTCGGTTTTTATTGATGTCTGTAAAAAGTGGGTGTTTTCTGTAAACTTAATCAAAAGGATTTGACTACGTAACAAATGTCATTTTCATGGTTACATAAGTAATATGAGCGGGGTGGGGAAATTTGGGCGGACCGTAGTTCCAACTGCAATCTGTTAAATGTACTGCCTCGGTTATTCGACTCATCTAAAGGACTTGACACATCTGAAAATAAATGAGCCGCTGGATTGGATATGAACTAATGAAATTTGAACTTGATAAATCCGGAAGCAGATATATGCTGGCCTCCTGTCGAATGATGCTAAAGATCTATAATACTAATAATCCAAAATACACAATGCATATTTCAGTAGCGTGTGCTTTCAATTATCAGGTCGAGTCTAGTAGTGTGGTTTCGATTTACCGCTTGTACGTGACAAGGAATGGAGTCGCCTGACCAACCTCGTGGTTATTCTCCGGTTTCCTCCCACTACTAAGACCTATAAACGCAAGTGATTTATTGAAATAAAATTAAACTATATGTTAGTCCAAAAAATACCTAGGTTGTGTCGAGTGGGCGTCAACATCTCTCTCTCTCCCTCTCTCTCTCTCAACGAACAACAAATTCATATCTAACAACAAACAAACCAAACATTATTCCAATCGACCACATTTATTACTAAAATAATTATCACAATATCAAAGATCATACTTACACCCGTGTTCGTCTGAGTTATCAGAGCAATCATTCTGACCATTACATCTTTCAACGATCGGAATACAATCATGGTGTCTTCCAAAATATGGCGAATTTTTGCACTGGAACCAATCACCAGTGCAGCCTAATAAATAATAATAAAAAAAAGTTTTCATATACATCAGCGTCGGCAATTTCTTCCTACACATTGAAAACCTCTCGATCATTGGTTTAATTTATGTTTTCTGAAACAACTTAGTTTTAAACATCGGTTAAAACAAGGTGTTTTTTCTAATTTTGCGAAGTGGATTTGATATAGCACCGGCGAATCTAAGAATAAAACTGGTTGTTATTATCACGTATTTAATATAACAGCCAGTGAACAAATGTTACAGGTGATACATCTGTCATTCTAAAAACTATACATACACACAGGAACATAACATTTCTTATTCTATACATAAACAGGAACATAATAGCTCTTATTCTTTATATAAACACACACACAGAAACATAGCATCTCTTATTCTATACACACGGGAACATATTATCTCTTATACTATACACACACACAGGAACATAACAACTCTTATTCTATAGAGACACACGGGAACATAATTATATCTTATACTATACACACAGGAACATAACATCTCTTATTCTATAGAGACACACGGGAACATAATTATATCTTACACTATACACACTGGGACATAATATCTATTATTCTATACACACACAGGAACATAACATGTCTTATTTTATATACACACAGGAACATAATATCTATTATCCATATGTACTATACATATTAGACTTTAGTCATAAGACCAGCGTCCTACATCACGTCCGCTTCAATTATACCTTACGGTCCTTTGGCTCTGTATCCAACTGGTCGTATTGCTACTAGAGCTTGTGAGAACCGCTCTCTATATATTCCAAAACACCATCAAATCTAGACTACAGTCACTTTCTAAGTTTTATAATTAAATCATTTGGTATTGATAGATTATCCCATTATAACCTCATGTTCCTGAAGCAACGACCGCGAGTTTTACAACATAGAGTGGTCTGCCATTCCCGAACTTATAGCTACGTTATCCCCCTTTAACGCAGACACTTGAACGATAGCGTCCAATCAGAGGCTGTGACTTAAACACACTCAAATCAAACATGGCGATTTCCACGGAAACTTTGACATTGAACGAACATCGACCTATGCAACTCAATTAACACAGGTAGATATTTTAACTAAAAACAAGTTGCGATTCGAAATTAGTACCGAAATATGTAGAGCATTACGTGAATGGCTTGATAAGATGTATGGAGTTAAAACAACATCAAACCTTCTATTGAAGATGGAAGAGAAGGTCCGTGGCCAATAGTTAGTGAGGAAAATAAGGGTCTGTTGCAAAATTTCAACATTAATTGCTTCAAAACCCTAACCCTTGGACATTGGTGACCTCGAAGGAATGTTATGAACGACACAGCGGATAAAAAATGATAAATTAAATGTTGTTACTCTATCGGCGTGGAAGGGTCGGTGACCTCTTTAAGGGGGAATTAGGCAAGATTAGACCATAGGACCCGACAGCTCTCGCTATAATAGTTAAAAAATGACAGCAGAATATGCGGAAAATTTTAGTCAAATTGCTTCACTCTAAACATAGATATTAGCGATTCAATTTTAGGCTAGCCACGACCGTGTTCACTACCGTTTTTACGAAAATATTTTATTTAAGACTCATTAAATTTTTTAAGATCATTCATTATGATTTCTCACAAGTAAAAACCAATAATTTACTTTTTTATTGTATAAATGTTTGCTTTTGTATATGCAAATTTTATTTTAATTGTGTGACTTTTCATTGGTGTAAATTACATTTATATCTGATTTACAACTATGTGAAGCAGAATTGTTGAGTTTTTCCTCGTGTCAAATTAGTGTCCCAGCTACAAGAATAGTGTTACTGATATTACGGTTGGTAAATGGACACAGATCACAAAATATTCCTACGCCGTCACCCCTAGGGCCAAAGCTATTTTTAGTCTTCCCCTCCCTTTTCTATTCCCCCCTTTTGCATGGCGATTTTTGTGGACTTTTTTGGTGTAGAATCGACGAAAAGAGTTTGAAAATACATTTTCTATCCGGTTTTGGTGAATATTCATAATTTTGATGCGGAAGGATACAAGAGTTGAGAGGTTGGTTAGGTTGAAACGTAGGGCCTAAAATTGCATGTTTACTTTTCTCTACTTCCAGCTTGTGTATCTCAAGTTTTTCATGAAGAACCTCATACGTGCTTTTGGGCAAGAGGTTGCCACATGTTGCTCCATCTAAGATACGAGAATTAACATTGGAGTCATTTGGGAAATCTTAAGTGATCTGTGGCCAAATAGCTCGTAGCTAGGATATATATATGTATTGAATTACAAAACTGTTATCTGAGAGACACTATATAGAATAACAGATAAACTGGTAATATTAGAGGTCTTAGGGAGTGTTTAGTTATAAGATAAGAAAAACTCCCACATAAGATTATTGAATGTAAACAGTGAGAGAGGTCAAAACAAAATTTAATAAATTTAATTTTAAAAACTGAAACTCAGGTCATTGCCATTTTCAATAATTATATTTACATATTAGTGCATTATTCGTGGATAATTATATAATGTCGACGAGACAAGCACTTAAAACATGGTTGTTTCTGTTTCGGAAAGTCTAGTAAGTTTCACAATCTTTGGCGGTGTATATTGGACCCAATCTTTATCAGCAAAATATTTATATAGCTAGCTAATCAGTATTTAAATTCATCCTAATCATTCACAGTGTGGTATTTGTGTGTTCTAGTCTATTTTTATTGCATTATTGTTATTACGTTAAAATTATATTATATTTTCCTGACATTTATTGATAATAAATGACCTATTCAATTTCATAATATCTACTGTCATATTTGTCTACCAGGACACTCATTGGGCACATAATTGTCTGTCGTCATGCCACGGTAAATCTTTATATTTAAAAATGAACACTAACTCACTGTTGTAACATCGACCAGATTTATAACATTCTCTTTGCCTTTAATAAGAACAATTAAAGGGTCGTTATGAGAGATTAGATGCAGAGCTGGCAGTTCTCACTATAAAAGTTAAAAATTAGATAATGTAAAGGGAGTTTGCAGAAAATTTCATTCTAATTGATCCACTCTGAACCGAGATTTTAGCTTTTGAATTTTAGGCCTAGCCTTGATCATCATTCCTATAGTCGGTACGATAACAAACATGATCTCGATTATCCATTTTTGGATTATATCATCAATGAGCGATGAGCAGCAACCCGGATTCAAATCCAGCGATGGCATCGAGGGTTGATTATGATTATAATTTAGATAACATTTCAGGCCTAAAGAAAGCCCCGCAATAGGTAGATTTAGCTCTTGCAAAATGTATGTTTACGCGAACCTAGAGCACTGGTATCACGATCTCTAATCTCGACACAGGGAAATTTTCCAATTTTTAAAACACGGCCTCCGAGAGCCAGACAACTCTACGCCTAGGGCTTAACTCTTTATCGAGGTCAAAAGTGTGGCAAAATGTTATGTTATTTTCAGAAAATATTGTTGGGTTTTTTTGCCTGATATCAGTGTTGTCTGGAAACTGTCCTGTAATTTTGTCAACAGTGTAGACAGAATATAGTTGTCTCCCTTTTCGTTGACCACTTTTTGTCCGAGGTAGTCTTTTAGGTACATTGTTATATTAGTGTTACATTACATCACAAATACTTACTCTAATTCTAACGGATAAGCATACTGCTTTCTGAACACGGTGCTTAGTAAATGGACTAGGAAAGAGTGAGTACAGATGGTGCTTAGTAAATGAACTAGGAGTACAGACCGTGCTTATTAAATGAACTAGGAGTACAGACCGTGCTTATTAAATGAACTAGGAAAGAGTGAGTACATACCTTGCTTAGCACAGACAGTGTTTAGTAAAGTAAATGAACTAGGAAAGGGTGAGCACAGACAGTGCTTAGTAAATGAACTAGGAAAACATGAGTACAGACCGTGCTTTTAAAATGAACTAGAAAAGAGTGAGTACAGACATCGTTTATTAAAGGAACTAGGTCGAGTGAATAAAGACCCTGCTTAATAAAAGAACTAGGAAAGCGTGAGTACAGACGGTGTTCAGTGAATGAACTAGTAAAGAGGTAGTACAGACGATGCTTAGTAAATGAACTAGAAAAGAGTGAGTACAGACGGCGTTTAGTAAATGGACAGACAAAGAGTGAGTACAGACGCGGATTACTAAGGGAACTAGAGAGGACTTAATAATTATACTTACATTTATAATCGTTCTCATCTGAATTATCATAGCAGTCATCGTGGCCATTACATGTTAAATTTTTGCTTACACATAGTTTGTTATTACATGTGAATTCTGTCGAACCATTGCAGGAACTATAGGGGGCACTACCACCACCTGATAAAAAATATAAAAAAATCCTCTTATACAATGGTAAACCTCCTCAGTTCTGCAACGACTGAGCTAATGAAGACGGTCATACAGTGTGGTAAAAGCGATATCGAATTCAAACTGTCAAGGGTATTTTTTACGTGCATGCTATTTGGATTTATACAATTTATACAATATATATATACAATACTTACAATGTTCGTCTGTCCAATCCCCACAGTCATCATAGTGATTGCATAATAAAGTGGTGTTGATGCATCGACCGTTGCCGCATTTAAGTTCCCCAGTTTCACATGTAGAATCTAAAATATCAAACATTTACATGTAGAGTTTTAAATGTCAAATACTACCCATTTCAGGAGTAAGATATTAGACCTTAAATATCAAACACTCCCCATTCACTCAGCTACGTGATACATCTAAACTATCAAACACTCCCCATTCACTCAGCTACGTGATACATCTAAACTACCAAACACCCCCCATTCACTCAGCTACGTGATACATCTAAACTATCAAACACTCCCCATTCACTCAGCTATGTGATACATCTAAACTATCAAACACTCCCCATTCACTCAGCTACGTGATACATCTAAACTATCAAACACGACCCACCCACTCAGCTTCGTGATACATCTAAACTACCAAACACCCCCCATTCACTCAGCTACGTGATACATCTAAACTATCAAACACCCCCCATTCACTCAGCTACGTGATACATCTAAACTATCAAACAATTCCCCATTCACTCAGCTACATAATACATCTAATCTATCAAACATGATACTCAGCTACATGACACATCCCAACTATCAAACACTCCCCATTCACTCAGCTACATAATACATCTATACTCAGCTACATGACACATCCCAACTATCAAACACTCCCCATTCACTTAGCTACATGATACACCTAAACTATCAAACATTCCCCAACCTATATAATACATCTAAAATATCAAACATTCTCCTTTCCCTCAGCTAAGTGATATATCTAAATTATCAAACACTCCCCATTCACTAGGCTACATAATACATCTAAACTATCAAACATGATACATCTAACCTATCAAATACTCCTCATCCACTCAGCTACATAATACATCTAGAATAACAAATATATCTCATGTACATCGAATACGAAGAACCATGCGTTCAGATATCCCGTGTAGGGCCAATACTAAGAACCGCACTGGTGACGTGCAGGGCCAGTACTAGCAGCCATATTTGCCCAGTCGGGTTAGAACAGTAGGGCGTTAAAACTAATTTCATTTCAGCAGTCATAATATTTGGATAAAAAAGTACAACACTTAAAACATCTACTATTTATATTTAAACTCTAGCTTCAGCACTCCCAGGCCCAAGCAAAATTTATTTTAAAAAGACTTACTTTCTCGTATTTTTGTGATTCTCAGCCGAACATATCCGGTTACGTTTTCGTTGCCATTAAGTTGAATTTCTATAACAGCTGTATTACCAATCGTAAGATATTCGTCAAGAGGAGATTGTTTTTCACCACACAGTTCTGTAACATCCCCTGTTGCTGAACCATTCAAGTAAAGGTTTACAGACGCCTCTGTGCAATTGAGATCAAATTTTCCGTATCCAAAAAAATTATCATATGATATACGAAGTGTTGTATTTGCTTCCGTGTTTATGATCACGCTGCAGTTCCGAGTAAATTCTGTACCAAATAGACGGATAGAATCATAAACGTTTAGCTCTGTCCCACAAGCTCTGTCAAAGGTTTCTAAAATAAATAAATAAATAAACATCGTAAAACGCCTCTGAACTAACTAACTAAATAAATAAATAAATATATAAATAAATAAATAAATAAATAAATAAATATATAAATCAATAAAATAATAATAATAATAAATAGGTAAACCTCGTAAAACGTCTCTAAACTATTCAATATATAACTGAACTGGTCAATAAATATTATTATTTGTTATAACCGAATGTAATTGTGTTAGTTATTGGTTTCAATGATGCCCCAATTCTTGTTTTCAAAATAACCATTGGAATTCTTAATTAAAGGTTAGCGTGTGCGCGTTGCATCATAAGGTCTGTCACTGAGTCAACTGGCGTGGTACGTGACAAGGAGTAGCGTCGCCTGTCTATCCGCATGGGTTTTCTCCGGGTCCTCCGGTTTTCTCCCACTGCTGAAGATCCCTACGCGCAAGCGAATTATTGAAATAAAATAGAACCATAAGGTCAGTCCCGAAATGACCTAGTTTGTGTCGCATGGACGTTAAACCCCGTAGCTCCCCAATAGCACACTGTATGGCGTATGCCTGTCTTCATTGACACAGTCGGTGCTGATAATGCTCCATTTTTTGTTGTCAGGTTAACGTAGATCAAAATCTAATTCCTATAATATGTGAATTTAAACTTGGATATCTGGTAAACGCCTAACACTAATTATTACCCTGGCCGTTACAAACATTAAACGAACAAACCAAGGGGTATACACTTTCCACCAGGAACACCTATTACACAAAGTATAACCACGATACTAGATATAAATAGTCCTGCCATTTTGATAATTCAACACAAACAAGCAACAATACTCAGTTCAATATAAACATATATCTATAAGTATTGGGCAATACAGGTAGGCGTATCTTTGTCACGTGACTGGATTTTACGATCTAACGTGTCATAGTTGTGTGATACAGATTTGACATGTCATCGCTGTGTGTTACAAATTTAACAATATTAAAAAGATAATACCGGTTCGGTAATCACTGTTGTACGAAATAACCGCTTTGCACCTTATCTAAATGAGAGAACTGAAATGAAATGAATGCTCGGGATTTTCTGGCGTGGTTTACCCTTGCCAGGGGCACAGGACGGAAAGCCGCACAAGGAACACTGTCTAGCCGTTCGGATGGGACGAAAAATTAAAGTCCCATGTACACATTGGAGTGCACATAAATAACCCCTGGAATTATGAATAAGAGATGGCTTTTCCATCCTAGCACACTGTATTGCGTGTGCCCGTCTCATACTGCCCCGGTCGCTGCAGAAAAGCAGGATGTTAAACTCCATTTCCTTTATTAAAAGAAACAGAGTAAAAATAGTATATCCTGCCCAGCCGGTTCAGAACAATAGGACACATTACATTTTTTATAAGAAGCTACGTAAAACTATTATAACGATGTCGCTTGTGATTGCGATATCAGCTATTCGTTTGATAAGAATTATTGCGACATAAACGATTTACAGCTCGTTCACAGTGATATGCGTTATCAGCAATTCTAGAGTAATATATCACAAATTCCATATGACGAAATGGAATGAAATGGGGTTTAAAATCCTACTTTTTTATACCGACCGGGCTAATGGACGAAATTGATAACCGGAAGGCGAAGAAATACAAGTGACACCGCTTGCCATCGGTTTCAAAATGGAAACAATAGGTCAAAATGATAATTGAGTGCACTCCTTTAGTTTGAGAGGAGCTAAATCAAGATTTTTTGACACCAAGCAAACAACATAAATGTGCCGCAACGCATATACTAATGTAATATGAATGTATATAAATAGTTGATAAAATAACAAAAGACGAGGCTCTGCTATTAAAAAAGACGAGTAGGAGATTTTATATATCACCCAATCCTTTCTTACGCGCACAAGTAAATAAATTTAATTCTTTGTTATAGACTTCACTTTTACTGAACCTGATTACATTACGGCGCAGTGATACATCATTTTTGACAGCAATTCAACCATTGCAAAGTTCTTTATATTGACTCTTTATATTCCTCCCACTGCTAAAGACCCCTACGCGCAAGCGAATAATTGAAATAGAAAAAATAAACCGTATGTTAGTCCCGAAATGACCTAGTTTGTGTCGAGTGGACGTTAAACCCCATTTCTCTCTCTCTCTTTATATTGACCCAGTGTTTCCGTCAGTCAATTAAATAAAAATAATTTATTTTTAATTAAAAAAAAAGAAGTTACTATTAATAAAAAATGACCTGTTCTTTGAAAATACAAAAAAGTAGTTTCTTTTTAACTGACCAATCAAATTCATGTAAAGCGATATCTCCTAATGAAATTCATCACACAAGCGATATCTGCAGTAGAATGTATTATTGGGTGATAAACTGATACACGCAACCATCGACGGAATTGTAATATTGAAAATAGGCCCTTATTTGAGAATAGGCATATCTTTAAATATGCACAACACCTACAAGTAAAATTCCAAATTTTCCCTTTTTAAAAAATGAATGTCGATGACACCACGAAAACGAAATTAATGGAAACCCATTTTATTAAAAAAATACCTTCCTCGATTTAAGTCAATAAGTAACAATTGGCCATTAGCTTCATTAATTTTCTTAAATCTATCCCATGATTATCTTCCACTCATTGTTCTTAAATTGAACCCATCTACTACAGATTAACACATGTGTGTACATGTTTTCTATTAGTTAACGATATACTATGTAACCATAGACAATGGCAACTATCGCCAATTAAAACCACAGTGTTACTACGTAAATATGTATAAATATACTATACAATCCATCTTTATACAATGACATTATTTATGAATAGTCCCATGCGATCGCATGGCTGGTAAGATCCAGTAGATTTCGTAATCTATCGATATTTTTCGATTTTGTGTATACTGTACGCCAGTTAGCGCCATACTGCTGTGTTCTGTGATATTGTTTCGATAATAACAAACCTAATGTATCTATATTCAGCCACAGTAACACTTTTCTACTGTTAGAGTTGGTTTGGCTCGCCCAAACTCAACTGTATTCAGAGAACGCCTAAACTCTCAACACTTAGGGGTCGCCCAAATGCAGACTCGATTTGTTTTGCACGTGGTGTATAACAGTAGGAACTTTGGCATTGACGGAGGGGATGACAACAGAGTCGTTGATCATTGACGTGAGAGCAACTCCAATTAATAGTACTGGTTTGTTGGCTGTGCGGGTAGAGGAGTCGGTGGTAGAAATGGGAATCCCAGAAAATGAATTACTCTAAAGATTTTAATTGGGGGAGGTGTCTTTATTAGGGATATAACCATGTCTAGGGGAGACATCAATTGTTCATCCTCTGGTTTCACTGGAAGGGAAAATTAAAAAAAAGGCGCAACAAATCGCAGGTTGGGCGAGCTCAGTTCTGCCCGGTTAAGGGTTGTTGGTTTGTCTCTAAAACAATCAAGAGAGAGGTCATATGTGTTGCATTCATATATAATGCGTGCTGCTGGTTGCTTGGCATGACAGACTGGCCCCATTTCATACTTCATAATTATAGACCCAATATATATATAACAAAGTCAGGATCAGGATAATACTACTTGTATTATAGGAAATAACTAAATATACAAAACTAGGTAAGCATATCAACGTAGCATAATGACAGACGACCTACTCTCATGAGACCCAGAACTCTACTGTCCCTAACTGACCACCACACGTGCAGACTCACTATAGTCTCTTTCAACATTACGTCATAACGTCTGTATCAAATTAGTGGTTATACTAAATCACTCAACATCTCCCCCTTTTATATAATTAACATTCAAAATTGAATTTCTTAAAACTGTAAGACACTAATTTGACATGTTTGAATACAATATAGATGTAGGCCTACTATTATAATAATGAACTAAATATTAATGCTATTTACTTAATAACCTAATAAACTTTGTTCAAATACCAATTTACTGCTTTACTAATCTAAATTTTTAATATCTTACAAAGTCTTTGAATCGTGCAGGTGGTACAATATTACGACCTGAACGACGAGGTTGAATATCAGGCGGATCCGGTGGATTCACATTCTGACGATAATCATCGTTTTCATTTGGCAAATTGAAATCAATTTCAACATCATTAGGCTTATCAAAAGCATTAGCAGAAAATCGTACTTTGTTAGCAATGTGTAAGTGGAGACGATTACGTCTATATAAACCAAACTTATTTTCAATTATGTATGATCTAGGTTGAATACATTTCTTAATAACAACACTGGGTGTATCCGACTTTTCTCCATCGAGTTTGGAAATAACTTTATCACCCGGTTTCAGTTCTTCTAATTCGCGTGTGTTGTGATGTCTATTAAAATTTCTACGCGTTTGAAACTTTCTATTGTCATCTCTTCTCCTCACATTTTTAAAATTAGGTCATTTCGGTTTTAAAGTACTTGGTAAAGTTGGTAGAGTTGTACGAATTTGTCGTCCCATCAGTAATTGAGTAGGACTCACACCTGTAACTTGTAACGGGGTTGATCTGTTGATTTAATATCTTTTTCGCGGTTTGTACAGCTCTCTCTGCTTCACCATTCGCGGACGCAAAGTAAGGGCTTGTTGTGACATGATTAATTCCAAAGTCACAACAAAAATTAGAAAATTCCCTAGACGCAAACTGAGGTCCGTTGTCAGTAGTTAGTAACTCTGGTATTCCGAATCTCGCGAAACTATCTTTAAATTTATGAATAACATTTCGGCTTGTGGTAGTACTTAAATAAACAATTTCAATGTATCGCGAAAAATAATCCACAATTACCATATATTCCTTGCCCTTGAAAGTCAATAAATCTGCACCTAAATGTTTCCAAGGACGATCTGGTAGTGGTGTTGGTAATAAAGGTTCTTTATGTTGATTCGGTCTTTGACTTTGACAAAATTCACACGATTGAACACGATGATCAATATCTTTAACAATTCTAGGCCACCAAATGCTCATATTTACTCGTTCTCGACACTTGTTGATGCCTAGATGTCCTGCATGAATTCGCTCTATAATCTCTTCACGCATAGACACAGGAATGACAATTCTACTACAGTATACTAATAATCCGTTAACTTCTGTAAGTCTCTCGCGAACAGAATAATAATCATATAATCTCGGATTAACATCGCGTTTATATTGTGGCCAACCATCGCGTACAAAACGTAAAACATCTTGTGACGTTTCATCGTTTAAAGTAGCTTGACGAATATTATTTAACTGTTTATCAGAAGCTGGCCATGAACTCACAATTGGGCTCATGTACATATTTACTTCACTTTCAAGTTCATTTATGAAATTTTCCCGTTGTGGACTTCTTGACAATGTATCGCTGATAAGCATTGTTTTTCCCGGTGAGTATTCGGCGATTGGATTGTAACGCATAAGGCGCATTATCATTCTTTGACAGCGAATAGGAATTTGGTCAATATCTTTCCTATTTATTAGAGGAATTAAAGGTTTATGATCCGTAACTAGTCGATAAGAATTTAATCCCCAAAGGTATTTGTCAAATTTTTCACATGCCCACACTAGCGATAAGCACTCCTTTTCGATTTGGGCGTAACGTTTTTCTGCGTCAGTCAAAGTTCGTGAGCAAAATGCTACGGGTTTCCAAATACCATCATGCTCTTGCATGATACAGCCTCCTAATCCATAGGAACTTGCGTCCCCACTAACCATTGTTGGTTTATGAATGTCAAATACAGCTAGCACAGGTTTCGAAGTTAAAATATCCTTAATTTTATTGAAAGCTAAGTCTTGGGCTTTATCCCATCT